ATCAAACCAGGTCAATCCCAGCTCTGTCCCTTACAAGCCGTGTGACCTTGGGCAACTCACCTCACCTCTCTGAGCTGTGGGTTCCTTCGCTGGAATACAAAGACACATGGATAGCACCTGCTTTTCATGGGGTTGTTGTGGGTTGAAGAGGGCCAGGAGAATGCCCCGTCCTCCCAGAAGCCTTTCCGGATTGCCCCAGGCATGATGAGTCATCTCCTGTGTTTAACCATTTTAACTGTTCATTTACTTTCTAAAAATGTATTCACATTGGCCCCTAAACTTCCAGGGGACAGGAAGCACAGCTATCTTGCTGATCGGGCCACAGTCCTGGGATCTGGCCGATGAGCAGGCACACACCTCTCTCAATGCTTATCTCAGTGGCTCAAAGCCACCGAGGCTGTCTGCTCTGCTGCTCCCACCAGACCACAAGGTTTTGGAGGGCAGGAGCTCTCCTGGGTCTCCTGGCAGCCCCAGGGGCCTCACTAAATGCCTCTGCAGGACAGGTCCTGTGACTGAGGCAGGGGACCATGCCCAGAACTGCACAGCACATGCTGTCTTCACACTTTTCACACGACATTTACCAGCTGACGCTTTCCAACCTCGTTCCATCATCTACCCCAGCTCACAGCAGGGAGCCTCTGTAGACAATTTTTCCCTACTCACCATCCCCCTCATGAAATGTTTACTTATTTACTTATTTACTTTTAGAGATAAGGTCTTGCTCTGTTGCCCAGGCTGGAGTACAGTGGTGCAATCACAGCTTACTGAAGCCTTGAACTCTCAGGTAGCTAAGACTACAGGTGCATGCCACCAGACCCAGCTATTTTTAAATTTTTGTAGAGTTGGGTTTTCTCCATGTTGCCCAGGTTGGTCTCAAACTCCTGCTTGGGCCTCCAAAAGTGCTGGGATTTACAGCCGTGAGCCACCGTGCCCAGCCCTCCTCACGAAATTTTTTAGGCTGGAATGCAGTGGCACTGTCTCGGCTCACTGCAACCTTCACTTCTCAGGTTCAAGTGATTCTCCTGCCTCAGCCTCACGAGTAGCTGGGACTACAGGAGCATGCCACCAAGCCCAGCTAATTTTTTGTATTTTTTGTAGAGACGGGGTTTCCCCATGTTAGCCAGGATGGTCTCGATCTCCTGACCTCGTGATCTGCCGGCCTTGGCCTCCAAAGGTGCTGGGATTACAGGTGTGAGCCACCACACCCGGCCCTCATGAAATGTTCATAGCACAGACATGCTGTATATCTGTTTGATGTTTGGCAGTTCAGTGTTAGTTGAGATTTTTTTGCGTTATCCCCCCGCCAACTCCGCCAAGAACCAAGTTACTCCTGTTGGAACCCAAATTTGCTGGCCTGATAAAGCAGAGGTAAGATACTTGCTTGGCACAAATGAATTCAATGAGACCTACATCTGATTTTAGTTGAACAACTGTCTTTAAACCATTTTCCAGAGAACCCCATGTAGACAGACAGATCAACAACCACAGACCCCCAACACACACACACCTGCCATCTTATCTTCGTCTAGACTACTGGCCCCACTGCCATCTTCCTGTTCAAGCTCGCAAAGGAGATCAAGACACAGGCCTGGGGTCACCACGAACTCCATGAGCGTCCTGCAGCCATAACCACTCTGCCAAAGGCAGCCGCTTCTCCCCTTCAAGCCTCAGTGTTCTCATCTGTAAAAGGGGCACTGTCCACTCTCCAAGGTTCTCAGATGACTGATTCCCCAGCTCTTCTGAATGCCCCACTCCGGGCCCAGCCTGGCGGCCCAGCCCTTCCGCCATCTGAGATTCAACTCCCCTGGCTGCTGGCCAAGGATGTTGAGGGAGGCATCAACCACCCAGGGCGCGGCCTCCCCAGGCAACCCCAGAGGAAGCGACTCTGGGGGCGTCCGAGGGCCTGGGAGCCACCTTCTGAAGCCCTGACACACTGAGGGGCCTGGATCTGGGGCCCTGAAAGTCTGAGGTGGGGAAAAAAAGGAAAACGGAAGTAAGAGGAAAGGGAGAGAATTCCAGGCAGCAGAAGCCCGGATGTAGATAATATGGAGGGAGAGTGTGTGAACGTGTGTACAGCGGGGCACAACTGGCCCCCACCATTTCCTTTTAGTGTCCTGAAAGCATCTCAAATACCAATTAATAAGAGTAGTCTAATTTTTTTTTTTTTTGGGGGGACGGGGTCTCACTCCAACACCCAGGTTGGAGTGTAGGGCACGATCTCAGCTCACTGCAGCCTCCCTTCCCAGGCTCAACTGATCCCCCCACCTCTGCCTCCCAAGTAGCTGAGACCACAGGCACGCACCATTCCGCCTGGCTAATTTTTTATATTTTTGGTAGAGCTGGGGTTTCACCATGTTGCCCAGGTTGGTCTCGAATTCCTGAGCTCAGGCGACCCACCTGCCTCAGCCTCCCAAAGTGCTGGGATTACAGACGTGAGCCACCGCACCCGGCCAAGTATTCTAATTATTATTATTTTTTCCATTTTGCTAACAATAGTATCCTAATTCTAATATTTTCATAGTTTGCCACAGACAAGAGTCATTTTCTCAGTCTTATAAAAAGGGGGAAGAATGCATCTTTCTCTGAAAACAACTTTTTTATGTGTCCATAATATATGTAGCTTTTTTTTTTTTTTTGCTTTTTTAGAGGCAGGGTTTCACCATGTAACCCAGGATGGTCTCGATCTCCTGACCTTGTGATCTGCCCACTTCGGCCTCCCAAAGTGCTGGGATTACAGGCGTGAGCCACCATGCCCGGCCTAACATGTGCAGCTTCAAGACAAATCCTGCACTCCCTCTACTTTCTGGAATCTTCCAGACCTAATCTCAGCTCTGCCCCTAAACAAATCCTTTCACCTCTCCAGGCCTCAGTTTCCCATGCAGGAAAGGAGAGGGTAGGATAATTTCTAGAGAAACACTCATGGTTTCTCTGATTTTCAGAATGCCCCCAAGCCGGAAGCTGCAGGCAAAGTGGCTGGGAGGGAAGGAGGTTAACGGGAGGCTGGGGGTGGTGGGTCACGCCGTAATTTCAGTGCTTTGGGAGGCTGAGGCAAAAGGCTTGAGGCCAGGAGTTTGAGACCAGCCTGCGCACCCAAGTGAGACCCCATCTCTAGGAAAAGTAAAAATATTAGCTGCATGAGGCGGTGTGTGTCTGTAGTCCCACCTACTCAGGAGGCTGAGGTGGGAGGATCATTTGTGCCTAGGAGTTTGAGGCTGCAGTGATCCGTGATCGTACCACTGCACTCCAGCCTTGATCCGTGATCGTACAACTGCACTCCAGCCTGGGTGGCAGAGTAAGACCTTGTCTTAAAAAGGAAAAAAAAGCAGGAGCAGGATTCAGAAGAGACACCAGAATAAGGCCACAGACTCCAGGAAGACTTTAGTCTTGAGCCAGAGGAGCCTCAGTTCGCCCTCCCCAGGGGCTGCAGTTCAGGAAGGGCCTGGAGGTCCTGCCCGGGCCTGCCAGCAGCTATGAGACAGGCCCCTGGCCCATGGGGACCTCCAGCCACTCCCTGTGGTTTTGCAAGCCAACACTTACCACCGTGCTCAGCAGAGCATGGGACAGCTGCCTCGTGGGCCCAGAAGAAGTAGCTTCTCTGCTTTAGTGACGAGGACTCAGCCTACGCTGTCGGGCACTGCTGTGGCACCCCCTGCAGCAGTCTGGGACCCAAGCAACCCCCAATGGCCGTGTGTGGAAGAAGGAAGCGAGAATGCGGTTACTCAGGCAGGGCCACGTGACAGCCCACACCCCCTTGTTTGTGACAGCTTTGGTGACAACGTTGATCAAGCCGGGGTGGGGAGAGAGACAGGTACCTGCTGGGTCTGACATTGCTCTTGGATTCCCGTAACTGTGAAAACACCAAGAACCAAGTGGAAACTCTGTGGGGAGACGTTCTTCGGTCGGGGGTAGGGCCCAAACCGAGAAAGGCCACAGCATTACTCCAGTGACAATGGAAAGCAGGGGCCAGAGGAGACCCCCTGAAGGACAGGAGTGACTAGAGAAAGGGGAGAATGGTCTTGCTTCTTGCCCAAGATTGGCGGTGGGTGGGAGGGAGTGGAGGTGGTTGGGGAGTAGAAAACAAAACACAGACCTTCAAAGGGTTTGTAACTATGGTGCATTTCTTCTTTCGGGACTCAAACACTCTCTCTACAACCACAGCAGGGGCCCTTTTAGCTGCAACCAAGAGCCTCTCTAGGGAGCTGGACTACAGCTTCCACAAGGTCAAGCCCTGCTTATCTTATTTCTTCATCCTCGATTGGTTCATTTGACCAACTCTGGCACTCCAGACTGCATGCCCTGAGGTCCAAAGGCCAGCAATTCTAGGCTGCAGCCCTCCAGTAGCCCTTCATTCACTGGGGAGGCCGGCGAGTAAACAAGTCAACAGAACATTATGCCACAGTGACACAGCGCAGTCAGTGCCGTCCTGTGGTGAGCAAGGGAGGGGCCTCTCCTTCCATCCTGGGTCGGGGAGGGACGTTAAAAGAGGATCTTCCAAGGAGAAGTGGCACTTGAGGTGACAAGCCGGGTGGGCATCCCAGGCAGAGAGCACAGCAGAGGCAAAGGCTGGGAGGCCTGGGAACACCCAGACACTTCGGGAAAGGAGGGAATAGGGGACTCCCAGGGTCTGCCCTTCGACTTTGCGCCAGGCAGGGGCTCAGGACATGCATAGAAAGATATTCATATCTTGCCTTACACACAGGTTTTTTGTTGTTGTTTCTGTTTGTTTTGTTTTTAAGACAGAGTCTCGCTCTGTCACCCAGGCTGGAGTATAGTGGCGGGATCTCGGCTCACTGCAACATCCGCCTCCTGGGTTCAAGCGACTGTCCTGCCTCAGCCTCCCGTAGCTGGGACTACAGGCATGTGCCACCACGCTGGGCTAATTTTTTTGTATTTTTAATAGAGACGGGGTTTCACTATGTCGGCCAGGATGGTCTGGATCTCTTGATCTTGTGATATGCCCACTTCGGACTCCAAAAGTGCTGGGATTACAGGCGTGAGCCACCGTGCCTGGCCTGCACACAGGTTGTTTTAAAATGAAAACCAGAGACCCAGCATGTGCTCGCCATGGCAGAGTCTCAGCCACCTTAGGAAGCTGCAGCTGGAAAGAGCCAAAATCTCACCCCGCCCACAGAGAGGGAAATGAGGCCCCAAGAGGGGAAGTGAGACACCTAGAACCCAGGCTCCTCACTCTTCCCCAGCAGGTTTGAGAATAGCCAGCCTTCAGGGACAGGGGACTGAGAAACTCCAGACAGAACGAAGTCCGCCTGGAGGTCACTCTCTGATTAGCGGACGTGAGTTCCAAGCTGTCTGTCACATCCAGCCTGCCTTGTGGTTTTGTGCAGCTTGTGAGCTAAGAATGGTGGTTACATTTTTAAGTGGTTGGAAAATGTTTTGTGAAAACTGTGAAATTCTAGATTCCGTTTCCATAGATAAAGTTTTCTTGGGACACAGCCACACTCATTGGTGTATGCACATCGTCTATGGCTGCTTTCATGTTGCGGCGGCAGAGTTGAATAGTTTCGTCACCTGCAAAGCCTCACAACACAAACGTTTAACATTTCCTGAGCCTGTGGTCAATGCCAGACCCTGTGCTAAGTGTTTTGCGTTTATCAGCTCATATAATCCTTGAAGCTGCCTTCAGAAACGAGGAAGCTGGAGCTCAGAGGGAGAACGTGCCTTGTTCAAGGTCACACAGAGTAATGGCAGAGCCAGGACTCAAACCCAGGCAGATGGAATAAAGCTCTTGATCTTAACCCCTAGCCTGGGATGGTGCAGGCTGAATGGCGAGCTCAGGCACATCGGCAAGTACTATATGTAAGGAAAAAGGAGTGGCTTAGCTGCGGGTCAGCTATTTCGTCTGTGTACGTGTGTGATAGGATCTTGTTCTGTGGCCCAATCTGGAGCGCAGTGGTGTGATCATAGCTCGCTGCAGCCTCGAACTCCTGGTCTCAAGAAATCCTCCCACCTCAGTCTCCCAAATAGCTGTTACAGGCACATACCACCATGCCCAGCTCCAAGTAATCTATCTGAAGGTGAGACTGGAGCAGCAAAATTTCCTTCTCAGAGGAGCAAATACTGTTAAGAGAATTCTGGTGTATGTCATCTGTGTGAAGACCATAAAACCACATTTCACCACACCTGACATCTGTGAGAGTCAAAGATTCAAAGTGAACATGTTTCTGCTTCTAGGAATGATGCCCAGAAAAAATATTCCAAAGTGCCTTCCAAGACTGAACCAATGATATCTGAGGTAAGAGAAATATTGGGAAAAAACACAGACTCCCATGCTACGGAAATAAAGTCATATTTATATTGAATGCTTATAAAGCACTCAAGAACTGTTAGGCAAAAAAGAGAGGGTACAGAAGTACATAAACAGCATAATTCAAGTGCGCTTGGGCACGGAGAGGACAGACTGAAAGAAACGCTCACAGTGCCCACCTGTCTCTGGGTGGCATAATTATGAATGGCCTTTGCCTTTTAAATATATTTTCTTTTCTATATTTGTATATAGAAAAATGTATATAATGATGTCTATTTCACTTTTTTTGAGACACAGTCTCCCTCTGTCGCCCAGACTGGAGTGCAGTGGTGCAGTCTCGGCTCACTGCAATCTCTGCCTCCTGGGTTCAAGTGAGTCTCGTGCCTCAGCCTCCTGAGTAGCTGGGATTACAGGCATGTGCCACCATGCCCAGTTAATTTTTGTATTTTTAATAGAAACGAGGTTTCACCATGTTGGCCAGGCTGATCTGGAACTCCTGACCTCGGGGATCCACCCATCTCCATCTCCCAAAGTGCTGGGATTACAGGTGTGAGCCGCCACACCCAGCTATGCCTATTTCTTCTATCAGGAAACCAATTTCAAGCAGGGCAAGGATTTTATGGGCACCCTAGATGTTGAGATGGCTAGGCTTAATGCAGCTTTTCTCTCTCTTCTTCTGGGGTCTGTTGGGGGCAGCTCCTCCCACACCCTATTATGTTTCTTAGGGCTGCCCACCAAGGTCTCCTCTGCCCCAGCAATGGGGCTAGTCCTATCAATTCTCCAAATGCTCCTCAGCTTCATCTCCATGGAAGATTTTCTGGAGAGGTTCAGGAACCTGTTCAGACATCATAAACTAAACTCCTAAAGAGCAACTGATAACATAGAACAAGGATCAGAGAGCATATTCCGGAAAGAACAGGAGAGTAAATCTTTCTGGCCTTGTGGATCTGTCACAGAGATTCAAATCTGTGGTAGGGGAAAAGCAGCCATAGTTGGTGTATAAATGAATGCAGTGTTCAAGACTATGACATTGCCTTTCTCGGTCCAGAGCACATATATTGAGCCCTGACAAGCGCCAGGTGCTCGGATGAGCCACTGACAGTGTCAGCACCATCCCTGCTCCCACAGCGCCTACAGGTTCGTGGTCAGGTCAAAAGCCACCGCCAGCCAGGGACACTGAATGTAGGCAGGGGAAAACACAGGCATGGGAATCAGAATTGTGTCTTTGCTTTGAGCTTGCTGTGTGGCTGTAGGAAATTTGCTTGGGCTGTCTGAGCTCGCCTCATTTGGAAAATGAAGCTTTGAATGCTTAGAGTGGAAAGAGGCAAGAATTCAATAAACATCTGAGAGTAGGTTGCGCTCAGATGTGGGCACATCCCAACTGCCTCACCTCTGACTCCCTCAGTCCATCTTCCTCAAAATTTCAGAGCAAAATTTGCTTCAGGTCTTGGGATGCCAGCCCTCAATATATAAGAAGCCCCTCCCCTGCTCCAAGTACAGGATCTCACCTCCCTATGCAGGATTCAATGGATCCCCATTGCTTTTAGAACAAACACTCAAATCCCCAAAATGGCTGGCGCTGCCTTGACCTCTTTCTTCCTCTCCAGCCTCATCTCAGAACGCACGTTCCCTTGTTCTCCCTCTGGCATCCTCTTTTAGTTCCTCTTATGTCTCATCCTAACACGGGACCTCTGCCTAGAGCAGTTCCTTCTGCCTAGAGCCCTCTTTACTACTCATTGCCGGGGCAACTGCGACTCACTCTTCAGAGTGCAGTTCATGTGCTCCTCCCCAGCAAAAGCCCACTCTGACCATGCTGCTCCCACTTCATGCTCTCAGAGCCCTGTGCCCCTTTCCTGCTGGATAAATGTCTATCTCCTGGGAACTCCAGAAGAAAACCAGGTCTGTTTTGCTCACCATAGCACCTGGCACTGAGCAATAACTTCTGCTGACATTTATCAGGCACTTCTTCATGCCAGGCCCCGTCCTAGGCCCTTGGCATATATATATATATATATATATATATATTTTTATATTTTTTTGAGACAGAGTCTCACTCTGTCACCCAGGCTGGAGTGTAGTGGTACAATCTCAGCTCACTGTAACCTCTGCCTCCTGGGTTCAAGCTATTCTGCCTCAGCCTCTCTAGTAGCTGAGATTATAGGCACCCACCACCACACTGCACTAATTTTTGTATTTTTAGTAGAGACAGGGTTTCCCCATGTTGGCCAGGTTGGTCTCAAACTCCTGGCCTCAAGTGATCCGCCTGCCTCTGCCTCCCAAAGTGCTGGGATTACAGGCGTGAGCCACTATGCGTGGTCTACTAATTTGTTTAATTGTCACAACTGCCTCATGAGGTAGGTACTATTAGTGTCCGCATTTTATAGATTGAAAAAAAAAATGGTCCAGAGAGGTTAAGTAACTTGCCTAAGGTCACAGAACTAGTAAATAACAAAGTCAGAGTTTGAACCTGGGGTGTCTTATGACAGAGCCTGCGTTAAATCACAATAAATATGTTGAGTTACATGATTCCAGCTCCTCCTTGGAGACCTTGCCTGCTATGACTGGTCTAAGAGGACCCAGTGCTCCCTACTCCTCTCAACCCCATGTGAACTGCTTGGGATGTGGAACAGGGACTGCAATCAGCAAAGCTAATGGGTGTTAGGTTCCTCTCTACACTGGAGCCCAGTAGCGGGTTAGCCTGGGCAGCAAGGGCTGTTCATGGGTTGTCTGGGAGAAATGTGCCCCTGGTTGTAACTAACTGCCTGTTACTGTTGGAACAGCCCCATGTTAAAGCAAAATCATGGCTCACTGGGCTCCTGCTTGGAGCTCTGTTGCAAGTGGATCCTGAGCAACTAAAGATTTGGTATTCAAACAGCCTGCAACCTCCTTAAATGATCGTCCATGCACGAAACTCAGGCTTCCTTCCATTCGCTAGGGATGAAAATGCCTGCAGCCTCAGGGTGGCCTCGAGTCCCAAGCGGCAACACCACAGCCTGTACAGCTGCACGTGTGCAGTGGCCTATTTAATTGCATTTTGCTCCTTTGTTGTTTCGGGGTGGGGAACTGTTCCCACCAGTGACAAGCACAGCTGTAATAAAGCCTCATACCACAGAGACAAAGAGAGGAAACTGTGGGTGCCAAAGGCCAGCGAAACTCAGCTTCAGCCTGGTAATTGCCAAGCTTAGGTTGGTCAACAGTACAGTTATTAAAGAAAATGAAACATTAAACATTTGTAGAATCCCAGAAATATGTGGATAGGCAAGGACAATAACTGACAGGCCAGGTACAGCCTGAGATTTTAATAATGTATTTGTAATTTGCCAGAACTGTTATCCGTCCCCCACAAGATGCCGGCTTCCTCTGTGAACTTGTGTCTGCTTCCCTGAATATGGGGAAAACGGGGTGATGTCGCTCATAGAATCCCACCTGCCTTCGCAGTGGTCACTATCCCTCCCAGGCAGCTGAGGATCCCTGGTAGCGCAGGAAGGTACAGGTGGACTGGAGCCCAGCCACACTGCAAAGCCCGTTCCTTCCTCCAAGGAAAGCAGGAGTCTGGCTGGTGGTGCCGCTTGTTTCTCAGGGCAGTGGTCTTTTCAATTTACTCACAATGGGATCCTTTGTTTGAACTAAAGCAAAGGTCTCATGAAATAGAATAAGAACAGAGCTGCTCACAAGCAAGGCCCAGAAGGGAGGAGGGGAAGCCACACTCAACTGCCTGCCTTCCCTGTTCCCCTGCTGCTAGGGGGGCTCATGGGCTACAGCTTGCTGATTTGAATTATCCAAAGGGGAAATGGTCACTGTAGGCCTGGTCCTGCCAGGATTCAATTCTCTTTCTCAAGTGGGAACAGAGCTCTGGGGAGTTCACTTTCAGCCCCAGATTTTGGTTGCAAATCTGGGTGGCACTAGGAACCAGTTTCTGGGCTGGAGACTGCAGCATGAAGCCATAACTCCAGAGTGGAAGAGAACAGGGGCTCCCCAGCTCACTGGGTCTGCTTGGGCCAGGAGTGGCCAGAGCTGCTGGTCTCAGACCTCCTGGAAGGCCAGAGGGCAAACAAATCTTAGAAATGTACTCCAGACTCCGTGATTCTTCCCCAGAGGGTAGCGGCTGAAGGAATCCATGTCTCTGGCAGACATCCTCAATCACCTGGCCTCAAAGACCCCTTGAGAAGGGGGTCTTTAGGGAAGAGATCTTGGTGTTGTGTGAGGGGGCCAGGGACCTGGCAATAGGAGTCCTGGGATATTTCATGAAATTTAAGATCAGAAATGCAGCTGGACCTTAGGCATGGACTTGGGGAGCTCCAGGGACCCAGAAGCCCTTTCTTTACTGCATACCTGTTCTGCCTGCATGCTCCCTGGCTTCCCCAGGTCCCAGGCCCCCATAAAGGAAAACCCAGATCTGATGCCACTGATGATGGTTCCAAGGGGCTCATAGGTCACCTGGAGTTGACTGTGATCCAGAACAGTCTTATTCTGTGAGCAAAGTACTGCTGAGCAGATAATGCAATAGGTGCCCCCATCCCAGATAATGCCTATATTTTCAACTATTGAGTCATTTAGTAAGTACTGACTGACACATCATGCCAGATTCTTGGGATCCTGGAGAAGGAAACCAGTGCCTGTTCTCAGGAGGCTTATATTCAATTCAGGGAAGACAGTCAAAACTCCAATGAGATGACAGACCAGCTATCAGTGGTACTATGGTGCTACGGGCATTACTTATGTATGGGGATCAGGTGAAGTGCTGAGAAGTGCAGACACCGGAGGTGGGGAAAGGTTGGGCACTCCCGAGAGAACAGCACATGTGAAGCTCAGAGGCAGGATGCCTCCTGAACACAAGAGAACATCAGGAGAGGGTGAGGGGCGGCAGGGCAGGCAACACAGGGCCTCCTAAGCCAGTGGCGAGGATTTAGCTTTTATTCTGAGTAGAATGGGAAACCATGGAGAGTTTGAAGGAGTCAACGAGATTTTTCTTAAAGGGTTATACAATAAATATTTTAGGTCTTGTGGCCATCCAATCTCTGTTGCAGCTACTCAACTCAAGTATAGAGCAAAAGCAGCCACAGACAATGCCAGTGTGTTCCAGTAAACTTTGATAGACACTGAAATTTGAATTTCATATAATTTTTACTTGTCACTTTTGTTTTTCCCCCCAACCATTTAAAAACCATCCTTAGCTGTGGGCTACACGGAAGCTTCCAGCAGGTTGGAGTTAACATGAGCTTTAGTGTGCCTTCCTCTGCCTTAATACCCGCAAAGGTGACTATGGCTGCTGCTCTGAGAACGGATTCAAGTGGGTGGGGAAGCTGGGTTAGGAAGCTGTGATTGTTAACCCTGTCGACTTGATTGGGCAATGGGGTGCCCAAATATCTGTCACACGTTACCCTGGGTGTGTCTGTGAGGGTTTTCTGGATGAGATGAACATTTGAATCTGTGGGCTGAGGAAAGCAGGTTGCTCTCCCTGGGGTGGGTGTGTGCATCCATTCAGTTGAAGGCCTAAATAGCACAAAAAGGAAGAGTAAGAAGGAATTCCTCGCCAGGCGCAGTGGCTCATGCCTGTAATCTCGGTACTTTGGGAGGCCAAGGCAGGTGGATTACCCGAGGTCAGGAGTTTGAGACAAGCCTGGCCAACATGGGGAAAACCCTGTCTCCTCTAAAAATACAAAAATTAGCCAGGCATTGTGGTACATGCCTGTAATCCCAGCTACTTGGGAGTTTAAGGCAGGAGTATTGCTTGAACGTGGGGGCAGAGGCTGCAGTGGGCCGAGATCGCACCACTGCACTCCAACCTGGGTGACACAGTGAGACTCTGTCTCAAAAAATAAAAAAAAAAAAAGAATTTCTCCTACCTGACTGCTTTCAAGCTGGGACATCAGTTTTTAGCTGCTTTCCGATCTGAATTGAAAAACTCAGCTCTCCTGGGTCTTTCTGTTTGCTGACTGCAGATCTTGGAATTAGCAGCCTTGGTAATCATGTGAGCCAATTCCTTATAATACATCCCGACCTCTCTCTCTCTTCCTCCACAGACCCTATTGGTTCTCTTCTTCTGCAGAACGCTAATATAGAGGCTCTGTCCATGCAGAAATGATGGGGGCACGGACTAGGGAAGTCACTGTGGAGGTGTAAGAAGTAGCTGGGCTATGGACGCACTGTGAAACCAGAGCCCACACGAGTTGCTGGCAGCCTGGGTGTGGGATACAAGAAATGGGAATCAAGGAGGCTCAGAGGTGGAAGGGCATGAACTTCCTCCTGTAAACAACTTTTGGAGACCTTGACAGAAAAATCATTCTAGAAGTAAAACAGGAAACAGGCAGCTGGAAGTAGAGAAACCAGTTACAAGGCTGTTCGGACACTGGTCTGGTGTCTACAGGGGGAGGCACCTGGCAGGTGGCCAGATGCCCAGATGGGATCTCCACCTTGTGGCTTATGAGGCATTCTGAACCACTGCCTCTTGAAGACACTGCTCAGGATGTTACAAGCTCATTTTGCATTTGGCAAGCTGTAGGTGGGGATGGTGAAAAGCAGCCCAAGATTTTGTTTGCCATGAGGTATTATTACAACTTCAACAACCCAAATAGCATCTCCGCATGGAAATGAATCTGCAATAGCTCCCTGTCACATATGGGCACTTCCCAGTTCTCAGACTTCATCACTAGAGCCCCCAAGCTTGGATCTTGTTGCTGAACTCCCTCAGGGCACTAAGCATTAGCCTGAGCACCTCCCCTGGCTGGACCAGGGGTCACTTGCTGCACTACAGTTCTCTCCAGCCCCGTGACACTCGCACTGTAATTACAAGCTCTCACTCAGTGAATGCCAAGACAAATCTAACTCTACCTAGTGGGGGAGAGATTAGGAAATGGGTGATGAGAAGACACAGGGCTGTAGGGAAGGGAGCCCTGCTGCTGGGGGCCTGAGAGGCACCCAGTGGAGATGAGCCTGGACAAGCTTGGCAACCAGCCCCCTGACGGCATTCTGCAGCATTCTGGGGGCCCAGGCACCCTGTGAGATCCCTTTCCACTGTAACCAGGCCCGCTCCCTGCTCTTTCCTTTGGAGACACAGATAACTGCTCCTCTCTGGCAACCCAACTCTTTCTCTACCCCTACAATGGCCTGTGGGCCTTTGTCTGAGCCACTTGTCCCCAGTTCTGCTCCAAACCAACCAGAAGTCCAAAAGTCCACTTACTCTTTGAGATCCATGTGAGGAAGCTATTCAAAGAACAAAACTAAGCACCCAGTGGTGAGTGTCCAAGCTCAAGTGTGCAGATTTTTTCTGACAGCAGAAGAGACCCGTCTACTTGCCTTCTAAGTTGAGTCCTGAAGTGGAATAACTTTCTCCTCTGACTTCTGACCTGGGCAATGGCCCCAACACTGCTTTCCAGGCCCTCACCATGAAGCCTGTCAGGCAGCCGTGTGCCTCACTCTGTATCTGCCCCTAAGTCAACTCAGGCTCATAAAATATGCCCTCTTACCCATTTTCGTTCACATGCATTAAACTCCAACTACAATGAATTTGAAGGATCCCATCTGCCTCTCTAAACTCACCTTCTTCCACATTTCAGCCAATCCAACTGACTCAGTAGCCACCCTATCCTCAAGGATCTTGGGATGTGCATTCCCATCTCCCACACAGCCCTCCTGACACTCCCCACAGGGGAGCTTTCACCCGGCACACCATGGCCAGTACCGCCTAGCGAACACACTCCCACCCCACACCCCAAAGTTCATAGCTGAGGATAAGCCATTTGCTAGTGGACTCGGTTCTCGCAGAAGGGAGGACTGCTGCCATCTGCACATCAGCTGCCTGGGACTTAACATTTCACACGTCACATTTCAAACAGAGGCAGCAGCTGCAGCTGAGATTAAGCATATCAAAGTATACTTAGCCCTTACTATGTTGGAAGAAAACCTATTTCCCAGTTCCTGTGACCTTCATTTTCTGGCATATTGAAGTCTTATGTAATTTTTTATACAGCCAATCTGTCTTTTCCTTTGTGATGTATTCCATTGCTTTAGGACTTACATTTTTTTCTCTAATCTGAAGTGTAGATTCTAAGGGATTTACTTTCTTCTAAATAGAAAAAGAAAAGGTTTAACTGTGGACTCCTGTATATTGGTGTCCCTGCTGCCCCCACAGCTAACCAAATGTTGCTGTACCATTTCAAACACTGTCACTGATTTATGCTTATCTTAATAATTACTAACTTATCACTAATACATTCATTTTAATAATGCCTTTCTGGGAATAAATACATTTATAGGAAATTCATAAATTCAGAAAAATAGGATTAAATAGAAATTAGACACAACTTTACCTCTCTATAGAAATAACATTTCTGGTATTTATTCTACACATAAATATACAAAGCCATCTGTTCTGGGTGGCTTTACATATCTGTATTAGGAAGCCTAGACTTCTCACTAGAAGTTCTGATCCTGAATGCTCTTATGAGATCCAATGGACTTCACTTTCTTCCCCATCTAGCTTCTGAATGGATAAGCCAACTAACATTGTTTACTGCAGTGACTCCATGGGATAGAGAGCTGGTGAGAATTTCTCTGTAAGCACAGTTTTACTTTTTCTGCTGACATCAGCAACGCAATTCACTGTGGGGCACTGGGATACACAGATGAAAGTTGGTAGTGACATCCAGCACCAGAAATAATATACTTTCATGCTTCAACCTAGGTAGGTATCTTTTTTTAAACCCAAGTTGGAATTGACTCTGTTTTACTATTTTTTTAATGTTTCCTATTCAATACTCTTTTTAAATGACTTTAAATAACTAAACAGTATTATAACATATGAATGTGACAAGTAACTTAACTGATCCTCTTCTGCAGAGGTGATTTTTACTCTATTAATTCCTGAATATACCTCCCACTAGTTCCCTGGGACAAAATTCCCAGAGTTGAGAACCTTGGGTCTTAAGAAAACATTTAAGACTTTTGACACACTTGCCAGACTGTCCCCTGGAAAGGCTGTTCACCATGCACACACCCCCTTCTCGCAGGAAAGGACTGCCAGCCCTACATTCTTTGGCAAGGGACTTCTTTTAAACAAACAAAAGAGCACAAAGGGCACTGTCCAGCCTGGACATCAAGGGTTGCCCGTCTGAAGCAGGAAAGGTATACGCTTGGCGATGACTCACGTCCAGGACTCAGTGCCAACACTAGAATACTTAATGTGCCAGCAGAAAGAGAAGGGGCCACTTAGAGTTAACAGATTCTGAAGAGCCAATAAAGAGTTTTTCTGGATGCAGAATACCAAGTACAGCAAGGGAAGTGACCTTAAAAAAAAATGGAAGTTCCCCCCAGACGAGGTCTGGCTTGCTGTCTGGGGCAGGCATGCTGACCTTCAGGTCTACTGGCAAAGAATCGAGGTGGCCCGAGTGAGAAAACAAGTCGGTCATAAACAGACCACCACGCGCCTTCTGGCTGACCATTGGCACCTCGGGTCTATAGAGAGCCCTGCCAACTTCTACTTCCTGTAGCCACAGTGGACCAAGAACATGGCTGCCATTCTTCTCACAGGCTAAAGCAACTTTAAGGCATTTGAGGAAGGGGAGCTTCATGCTGAGTATTCATCATCTTCACAAACATTCAGAAAAAGCAAAGTGGGAAATTCTTTGCTACAATCACTGAAATGTCACAAGACAATGTCATAGTACAAAAGGGAAGCCCTGCAATTCAACTGACCCTGGAAACCTGCTGGAATAAAAGTCACAGCTGAGCCAAGAGAATTTTGCTTCTACTGAAGAAAACATGCTTTCAAAGGCCCTGTCAGGAAATCAACTCCCAGTCTACTAGTAACAGCGGCGGCCATGCAGCGAGGGCTATTTGTGTGGCCAGACAGGTATTCCTCTCATCTGAACTACATGGAATTATCATCCTCCTTTCAAGAAAAGGGACTGAAAAGGATTAGGAACCCCACTCCAGAACATACCACTGGCAACGGTCTGAGGCAGGATCCCAATGCCCAGGTCTGTTGAAAGCCAGAACACAGGGCTTGACTGGCTTGGAGACCTCACCTGGTCTCCCTTGCACTTGAGCTTAGCCACCCACATGCACTTCCCTGGTACTTACCCCAGAGAGGACTATGCCACCGGGCTCGTCCAGCAGTCAGAGAAGCTATGTCAGGCAGAGAGGTGGGGGCTGCCTCACAGACAGCCAAAGTGTGAAATAAACACAAACACATTTTGTAATCAATGATTTTTATCTCTGAAAATGGAAGCAAGTGTTTTGACAGAACACTGGCCACTCTATAAGAGCCGACCTAGGTGTAATTCACTGTCCTCTTCTGGGATGTTGTGGCTTTAAAAAAAAAAAAAAAAAAAAAGACAAAACAGGAAAACAATCCACAATGTTTAGGGTGCCTACTCTGAGCCTGTCTGGGCATTCATTCATTAAATAAGTCGTAAGCTACAAACTAAGATCAGGGGCACTTTCCCTCACCCTCCCCTTCTCTTGGAACCACATACTCTACGGTGTTTCACCATCAACAACTTTGTTTACTTCATTAATTCAGTATCAGAACCTTCAAACATTTCTGAAGCTCAGACACAAAGGTCCTCAGCAGATTATGATGATAAGGAAACAAATACAGGTTTGAATATAAGTCACTGTCATGATTGTTTTCTTTACATCTCATGATCTACTTCAATATGAAACACACAAATACACACACACGAAACCACATCAAACATTCAGATGCCCTGAAATTGTGGAGACAGCATTCCCAATATTGGCTGGATAAGAACACGGTACCTTTTCTACACGGACATTACTCCAAGTTCAGCCATCACCACACTCTGCCCTCACCCTGGCTCCCTGTATATAGACGTGTCCTGCCAGGCTCATGCCCACAACAGCACAAGCATGTGCAAGAGTTCCCTTCGTGGTCCCAATGGCACTACACATTTCACGTTCAATCACAGACTGCCCTTCCAAAACACAGGCCTCTTAAATCTTGTTTCCCAAGCATGCAATAGGAGAAATTGGAAATGGGGCAAAGTTCTAGCTAACCGAGGAATGAACAGGCGACCAGAGCTCAGTCTCTGAGCCCCCTCCGAGTCCAGGGAGGCTCTATGCTTTGACGCAGTCTTAGTGCAAGATGGAGAGGCAGAGCAGGTTAGTTGTGCAGAGGGATGCGTTTGTTCGCATTAAAGCTACAGCAGAGGTCTGCGTTCCTGTTTCTGCTTCACTCTCGATCATTCTCCTCGGTCTCAATATTCAATTCAATCGCACCCTCTGGCCTCGTCTTAGCTTAATGTGGTTACAGCTAAAAGGCAGGAAGGAAAGAAGGAATGGCTGGGGGAGCCCTGAGAGGTTGCAGCACATGTGAGGAAGAGGGTAGAGCAGGAGCTTTGTTGGTGGAAGGAGAGCCACTTCCTCTTCCAACACAGCATGGGGAGAGCATGGGGACAGCACGGGGAAACAGGATCACCCAGCACAAATACCCCCCTCCACATGCCCTCATTTTTAGTCCCCACCACTGCACTCAAGAGCTGGGCAAGCTGCTGAAAAGGGCAAGAAGGAACACTCAGCAGTACACGTCTTCCGGTCCCAGGCACCCTTGTCAAGTATTGACCAAAACCTGAAACATGATGTTTAACGCAATGAATGCAGTAGATCCTAGGTGTGTGACAAACTGCAGAAACACATGCTAGTTCGGGTTAGATTATAATCATCTGAAACACAGGATAACCAAGAAGCAAAATTCCATTCTGGTACAAACACTCAATTTCTAGAAAAGAGAAAGGAAAGGAAGAAATACGATAAGAGCTTTTTTGATCAGAAGACTCCATGAAATGAGAAGGGTGGTACTACGAATCCACGTGATTTTTCAAGTCTTCCTGTTGTACAGTCATCAAGACCTTTGTGCTACAAAGGAGTCAGCACCATGTGGCTACTGCTCTGATTGTTCTCAGATGAATGTTTATACAAAATAATATCTTATCTTCATTTAGTTTATAAACATACACGGTGCTGTCCCTTTCAAATTAAGGAAAAAAAAACCCACACAAATACTGCAAAGTAGCAAAATACAAAGGAAAACAAAGCTACTTTTGGTTTTGGCAACATTAAAAAAGAAAGAAATATAAAAAGCAATGTGGCATTGGTCCCTATATATTAAAAAAAGGGGGGGTAATTGGGCACGACGCAATCAGAATTAGTTTGTTTTCTAAAATTCAGAATGTCTGTGATTTTAAAAGTAGCACTTTTTTAAAAGTTCAACAAGTCACATAACACTTAAAACATCAAAAAATCTTTCTGATAAAAAGGTCAGCTTTTAAATCACGTTTTGTTAATTTGGGAGACAAATTGAGTTCTTACTGGAATGTGGCCTATCGCTGGCTGACAAATCTGAAATGGAATGTCTCCAAATGGCAGTGCCTCCCTTCCGCCCTCCCTAGGACCGCACCAACAACCAGCTCCCAAGCACAAGTTCTTGCTCCCATTTTTTGTAGGGGTGGGGTGGGAACCTCAGGCTGCTATCTTCGCCATCTGCTGTTCTAACTTGGAAATACGCTCATCTTGATTGCAGATTGTGTCTTTTATAGATTTGATCTCTTTTAAAATCTCATCCAACTTGGCTTCATTTTGCTAAGAAAACAAACAAAAAAAGGAGGCAGTGACTAAAATGCAGTAAACAACACAGTTCAAAACTTGTAAGATATAAAATGTAATTTTCTGTTTTGCAAACGGCAAGTCACAGTCACCAAGCTGAAAAGAGAAGTCAAAGCCCTACTGCACCTGGGGCTTTGAATGTAAATGAGCACTGGCCAATCCATCTGAAACCC